GAATCTGCTGAAATTGAATGGTTTGTTATGTTCGAAATTTATAAACGTTTCTGGTCAAATATCTGAAGTTTCCTGATTAACAGTTATAACTTACGAAGTTTATAACACACCAATTACAGCAACCCAATAATAGATACTCTTTTTAGACGCGTCGCGTTGGATATATTTATAGGCGTGTGGAGAGTTTCTCGAAAATTTAGATAACGTAACAATACAAAGCTACACTGGCGTTTACGTACATACATATATTGTTGATTCTTACACTCGACAATCTTCTACAACTTTAGAGAATAGATGGGAGTTTCGCAATACACATTTAAAAATATAAGTTATGCATATTTCTAAATATAAACTTAATCTAAACAAATGTTGATATTAAAATAAATATATAATAATAAATCCGTCATATATTTCATTATTTTGTTTCTTTTAATAAGTTATTTAAAGGCTGATGGCAATGTTTAAAGTCGCGAAAGCGTTACCTTCTGAATAAATATTTTCTATTGAGCTCGTGTTTCTTTGAATTCACACATATATATATGTATCAACAAAAACACTTACATTCCGACCCCAGTGGCTCAGCGGTATGTCTGTAGACTTACAACGGTAAAAACCGGCCTTCGCTACTTGTGGTGGGCACAGCGCAGATAGCCCATCGTGTAGTTTTGTGCTTAATCTTAAACAAACAAACACTTAAAATCCTACCACCAGAAAGTTAAAATTGAAACATAATTTCAAAAATACCGTAGTTTCAAAATTACTTCCGACTTCACTACTTTAGGTTTCACGGAACTAATTAAATATGTTAAAGCTGCAGAGGTACTTACGTTTTAAAAACTGAGTTTAAATTAAATCGTTTTAATAAATAATTTATTTATGGCGAAGTTCCTGGAAAGGAAAGAATGTAAAGCAATAGCTTTCGTTTAAAAAACAATCTGGACTGTTTGTTTTCATTCATTTCTGTTTATTTTTAACTTACAATATGTTAATAGCTTTAAACGTAAAAAGTTATTGCTAGTTTAAAAAAAATGTTCGATTTCATTGTTAATTATTTTTGAAAAACTGGAATAAAAATGTTTAATTACAAATTTAGTCATTCAGATTTACATTTTTAAATCTGTGTTATTTAGAAATTGTGAAATAAGTACTAAAAGCTATGAGTTTATTGTGTTTATAAAATAAAAAAGTTAAAATCAGAATAATCTATTTCGATGTAGCTTTTCCGTTTCAGTTTCAAAGGTACCAGGGATGGCTCGAATTGTTCATCAAAATGATATTTTAAATATCTCCTCAATAGGTCATCAGAACTTTACAATACTATACAGTGTTTCCTTTTATCACAATGTCTATGTAATGACCGAGTCACAAGTCGTGGGAATGTCTGTAAATATCATAGCAAAAAGTTTGAATTTCTTGTTCTTCTGCTTCTTTTGTATTACATGATAACTCAAAAAACAAAACAATGATGTTAACCAATTTCACTGAGGTGGCATAGTTTCAGACTGAGTATCTACTTTTATAAATATTATTAATAACTAGTAGTAATTTTTAAAAATCACAATTCTAGTGTAAACGATGTTATCATTACCCCTTGAAT